TTTAAGAATCTTAACTCTTCTTTCAGTTTCTGGAAACTCTGATTTCCATTCACGTTTTTTATTAACGTAATAGTTTCACAATAGGCTTGTGGATGGATTTGGTTTGATGTTTTAGAAGACATTTAATACTGGAAGAGATGGGAAACTTCTTTTAAAATCTCAAGGCATTCTTTTTGTTGTCAGGCCATGGCATATGGTCCCGTAACTTGCTTTCTGTAGCAGTATCACCAAACAGAGAGCAATGAGCAGAAAGAAGTATTCTTGTGGTATTGTGAAAACTTCCAAAAATATGCTATTGTGTGTAAAACTTCAGAAGTGTGCACATGAAGCAGTCTCAGAAACCTGTCTTGGATCTGCATCATCATTTGGGAGTTTTGGAATGCATCGTCTAAGGGCTGTGGGAGGAAGATCATTATACGAGTTTCTGATGATGACTTTAAATCAGAAAAAAAAAGAGGGCAAAATTCATATGCTGAAACACCTCCTCTTTCTCTCTTTTAACTCTTGTCTCTTATTCTTCCTCTAGGAACTAATTTCTGTAGTCATCTCACGTGCTTTTCTTTAAAATTCCGAGATTCTTAAAAATCATTCAAATCTTTAAAATCACCGAACTTCAGACACTAAGGAGAGCAATATCTTGGGAATGCATATACCTTAAACATCTGAAAGCATTTTGTGATCTGAAATTAAAACCCTATTATCCCACGCCATGAATGCACAGCCTCCTCAGAACATTTGCATCATACCATTGCATCTTTGAAAGACAGGGTCAACTTGACTGCTTGGAATCACATCTGCCAGACTTCATCAGTACTTCAATGGAAACCAAAGATGTTCAAAGTTAAAAAAAAACAGGCACAACACACTTCTCTTGGTTTCATAACCAGTCAACAGTGCAAAATACTGCTATAGATGCTGCAAGGGAGATTGGTAAAGAGCGCTATCAAACATTACCATGTTGCCATTTCTTGAGGTTAATAAGAGAAGCAAAAGATAAAAAATACAGACGTCAACATTTAAAAATGTTTCCCTTAACTCATACACATGGTCCTTTGGAGCTCACTTTATATCGTCATTTGTGGGTCAATCTTTTCGTAAGAAGTTAATTTCAAATTTTACTGTTTGGCTAATTATGTAATTGTAGAATTCTCAGTGGTTGATTGGCACTATATTGATTAGCTATGAATCGTGTGGTAGGTTTTTGTGCCTGACTCTATGACTAATAGAGTCCAAAATAAAAATTTGTAAGTAAGTATCAGTACAAATACTTACAAGTATGACCAATAATCTGGCTGAGAAATTTGGAGATCAATTAATGGAGCCATTTCAAATGGCTTAATCATTGCAGTTCTGGAATTTAAAGTTTGAATAAATTTCATTATTAGCAATGAACAAATGTTGGAGCTGGATAAAGGCCTATGAAACTAGTAATGGTTTCTTAAACAGGGAGGGAGAAAGAGGAAGACAAAAATTTACAAAGAGAAAACAATGCAAAAGGAAAAAAAAAGAAAGAAGTCTTATAACACACTGCGATTGAAAAAATTATTCCTCACTCACCCCTCACATTCTTTTTAAGAAGCTGCAGAGGGTTTTCATGAAGGCCCAGCATGCCTAAACAAGTTTCACTCAGAAAGAATAAGTTGTAAAAGTTAAATCACCACTCATTTCTTTTGAGCCTGTCTTCAGCTGTGATCTGTGGAGTTTTAGTTTCTCTTGTCAAGGACAGATAAAACAGTACTGTAAGACCAAACTTGAAAAATCCTAACTTCTGTGTGAATTGCCTATACAGGAACAGTATTTCTTCTAGAAGTAGCCCATACAATAGATAGCCTACATGGAAACCAGAAACTTCCGAAGCCCATACACCTGTTCATCCACCATCATACAGAAAAGATTTGCCATGAATGGGTCAAAGATTGCTTGTAAGGTACAAAAAAACCTAGAGCAAATAGACACAGTGAAATACAACAATTATCTAGAAAGCAAAAGCAAGACTTGCAAACTGTTTTGAACATCTTTTTTGTCCTTCCCAAAAAACACAGCACAGAGTGAGAGGCAGATATCCTGTTTGTCTGGCTTTGTGGCTTGTACTTTTTTTTTGCAGCTGGAATCCCTTGGTTTGTTGACTTACGATAGTGGCACTCTCAAGACCAAGGACTGCTTTGTTTGACCTAGTATATTCATCAATATTTGCATTGTTAATTTCATTATTTTGCAAAGCGGCTTGGGATGTGTTTCATGAAAGAGGTTACACATAGAAATCCCCAGTCTGCTTTGATTAAACCTTTCTGACAAGCACATCTCAAGTGCTACTGTCATCAGCTCATTTGCTTTTGAATTATTCCAGTAACTACAGTATTCCAGATTTTAATATTGATTTTGTGCTAACTATCCTTTCCTGAACTAATGGATACATGGAAGTGTCATTATATGTTACTGAAACATAGATACCAGATCTATGACTGGATCTATTTATTTCGTCACATAAATAGCATAGCTTGTATTAGAGAGTGTTTGTATATATATAAAAAACATATTCATATCTATGCATCTGCATATTTATAAATAAAATAACATAGGAATTGTCTGCTTTTATCTCCAACTTTAACCCATGGATAAGTAGCTGTAATATTTACAGATATGAAATAATGCTTCTCTGAAATGATTTAATTTTATGAGTCTAATCTGCCTCTTAATTAGAAGCAGACATTTTGTATTATAGTGTGTAACAGCAGTCTATAATAAATTCCTTCTGTATTTATGAAATAACACTTTTCAATAACCCTAGAGCTGAAACACACTAACAATTAAATAATGAAGAATTCTACAACATAGCAAACGAGGTTTACATCTGATAAGAGCTTGTACATTTGGAAGAGTAGCATTTATTTTAGAACTTCAGGATTAGACTCACTATTTTGGCTTTCTATTCAACTTTGGGGCTATCATGTAGGTTTATTTGTGGAAATAAATTCACTTTATCAGATGGACCTGCTTCCCTGCATGTGGTATTTCTCCCTCAGAATAACTGGCAAAGCACTATGGCTAATACTGCTCTTTGGCTAGATCTTGTGAGTTGCTGAAAAAATCCTGTATTCCAAGAAGCATAAAGACAGTTCAAGAACTTCAGGACTCCACCACTTCTTTTAGACCCGAGGGTCAATTTTAGGTTCTTAACGAACACCAAATTAGTAAACAATCTGCCATCTAACATCTTGCTGTGGTTTCAGCTGGGATGGAGTTAACTTTTTTTTTATTAGCAGCTGGTGTGGTGCTCTGTTTTGGTTTTGGCATGAGAAATACTGTTGGTAGCACACTAATGTTTTCAGTTGTTGCAAGGCAGGCAAGGCCTTTCCTGCTCCTCACACCGCCTCACCGGTGAGCAGGCTGGGGTTGCACAAGAAGCTGGGAGGGGACACAACTGGAACAGCTGACCCCAACTGACCACTGGCATATTCCATGCCATGTGACATCATGCTCAGAAATATAAAGCTAGGGGAAGAAACAGGAAGGGGAGAACGTTTGGAGTTACGATGTTTGTCTTCCCAAGTAACCATTACACGTGGTGGAGCCCTGCTTTCCTGGGAATGGCTGAAGACCTCCCTGCCAATGGAAAACAGGGAATGAATTCCTTGTTTTGCTTTGCTCACGTGCATGGCTTTTGCTCTACCTATTAAGCTGTCCTTACCTCAACCCATGAGTTTTCTCACTTTTACTTTTTCAATTCTCTCCCCAGTCCCAACCAGGGGGAGTGAGCAAGCAGCTGTGTGGTCCCAGCTGGGGTTAAACCATGACAAGGTATCAATAGGATTCCAAGTAAAGAAGCTTATAACATCCATCTCTTCTGCAGCACACCATGTTATTGTCTTAAGGATCAAGAAACATTAAATAAGAGGAGGAAAAGAGACACACTGTCTCTAGGTTGGAGTGCTTCATCTTAGCTAATTGTAATTAGGATGATCTAACTCATTATGTACTTTCTTAACTGTTCAGTGCCTATCTAGATATTTCTAACATGTTCACCATTGTAGTATTTAAGCATCTGGCACATTTTCCCTATACCTATGTGTCTCCTTCTCTTCTACAGAAAATTAGTTGCAAACAGGTCTTCATATTTAGTTAATATCTACGTCTTGGTAATTACCTCTATTTGGCATCTCCAATTCATTTATGTAGCTGAAATCCTTGCTCAAGTTCTTGTCCAGTCTCAATGCAGTAGTCTCTTCTGTGATGAGAAATGCAATTTTTCAAACCAAAATCCATTGGTTTGATCATGCTGCTGTAGATTTGTTGAGTATCTCCACTGACTCCTTCTTTTAATCTGAGTAGTTTCTTTTGTTTTTCAAGGTCCTTCACAGCGTATCTTTGCTCTCACTCTCTGTTGACATGATCACTCCAACCTCTGATTGGCTAAGGATAATGATTTTCAAACAAACACACAAATGCTGCTCTAAGAAACATCTAAAATCAAATCACAGTCTTTCTAGTTTAATTTTTTTTTCCCTTAGAGGAAAAAAGAGGGCTCCATTAGAGCCCAAATATTAGTGTCTGGAGCCGTGAATGATACATACCTTTGAGATACTATTTTAATATCATTTTTGTGGGCACTATGCTCTAAGTGACTGAAATATATTGATGAGCTTGTCAATATTATTTGTTTGGAAATGTGATGAGTTGCCAGAAGTGGCATGAGAACTAAAGGAAAACCACATCCCCAGACATGTGTACAAATTTTTTCAGATGCACTGTCCCCTCGTGACGTTTATTAAAATACCTTCAACAAATTTACATCAGTGAGCTACATGTTTGAATTCTTCACAGATCCTCAAAATACTGTGTCTATTTTTAACAAGCACATTGAACCTGCAATATTAACTGGATCAGTAAGGCAGTGTAAATAAAAAATGTTATTTAGATAGACTTATTCAAACAGAGAAACCTACCGTATTTCAACAATATATTTTGCATAAAAATACAATTGATAAAATGAACAAAAATACTGAGGAGGAAAATATAGTCTTTTATTTACAGTCAACGGTTCCTTAAGAATTTAGTTTAAAAATAAATACTCCATTCCACTACAATATTTTTAACAAAGCTAATCATGTGCACATCTTGGTTTTGAGAAAATTAAACTTTCAGGTACGTAGTAGAAACACACACACATACACACACACATACAATTACAATGTAAAAGGGAGAAAAAAAGCACCTGAATCTATTTAGCTTATTCTTTTAAGACATTTATAACATATTTAGTCAAGAACTACCAAAGGAGTTTGATTCCTGAAAAACAAAAAACCTAAACCAAACTAATATTCCATTATTTTTGCTGTATATTTTGTGAGATGAAAAATGCCAAGTTGAGCTCAATTCAAATGACAGCAAATATATAACTGCTGAATGTAACATTCAAGCAAAACTATGATTTTATTAAAGCAAATCCCATATGGACATGAGAGACTTGAACCCTGTTATGTCTGTGAAACTTGCTAGGTACACAGAGAATATTAATAGCATTGCAAGAGAATTTGCCATTTTGCTACATCTTCAAAGAGAACTTATCCAGCCAAAGAGGCCTGTATTTTGATGTTTTTGAGTCACATGAAGAGAAGAGAGGGAAGAGTACCAACAACAATAACGTTCAACAGTGCAACTATTCAACTCAAAATGATTGGAAAGAAAAACATAAAAAAATTCAAAATAACTAAATGAAAGTTGAAAATCATACTATAATCCTACTAAAAACACTTTCCAGAGGCCAAGTCTGATTCTTCCCAAAATAATATTTCTCTGGTTTTGCTTCCTATAACTCCTGAATACGGTGAAGCTTTTAGCTTTGTACTTCAGAGAGTGATAGCTGAGTATGATGACAGGGGCAGCTCTCTTTTCTTGAGGCTGATATACCCAAAACCCAAAGTGTCATTATATTAAATAGGTATATTCAAAAAACTATAAAAATAATCCTATTTCTCCTGAGCAACATATTGCCAGCCATCAGCTGGGCATTCACAGCTTTGCTGAGAGCTCCTAAAAGAAACAGTACTTTTTACAACTTGTAAGAAAGAAGTCCTTATCCAATCCCATCTGGCACAGAGCATGAGCCTTCTCTTCCTTTGCAACAGATATCATTGACATTTTAAAACCAGTACACTATGACAAGAATGCATTTCATTTGACATAGCTTTTCTGAACTTGACACGTGAAAAACCTTACATTTCCTTCTCAAGTCTTTCCCTTTTCTGAGCTATATGCAGATGACAGTGTTGTTCAGGCTACAGTAGTTACAAGTGGTTGAGCATGCACACAGATTATTTTACTTGACTAGCCCTCAAGCCCCCACAGAAGCTCATCCAAGACAAACTAGCTTGATTATCTGATATAATATAATATTTTAATTAAAATAAACAGAACCAAACACTTAAATAGGCAGTTATGTGAGAATGGATTTCTTCAAATGAAAATCCACTAGAATGGAATAGTAAGCTTTATACTGTTTCAATGGCATTTTTTACCAACATTTTAGGTACATTACTGAGTCCTTTACTTGGCCCCTGGATAAATGATGGAAAATATGTATAAAATGTAATGCCAAAACACCCAGATACATCTCCCGTATCATACATACTTCTGGTCTGGAATCAAGCAGAAGTCGATTACAGCACTAAATGCACAAGTTCTGTCTCCGAATCAGAGAGACAGGCTTTCTTGAGGTAAAATTAGAAGTAACAGAAATACATGAAAACACTGTATTGATTGTCTAGCTCTTTGAAACTGAGTTGTGTTCAACTGAGGTGAATTGTTAAGGTGCAATTTGGGCTCAGTAAAGCCACATAAGTCTTTATTGTGGTTTGGAAGTTAATTGACCTCTTCTCACCCAATAGATGAGTTTTTCTTGGACCTTTAACAATCAGTTTGGTAACTATGTGATTTTACTTCTAATAAAAGGAGGGGAGCGGGGAATTCTAAGAATCGCTGAAGAAAAACAGTAACAGGGGAAGGAGTTCCCCATGCCAGTTTGCTGAATTTGAACACTACAGGGAATCTTTAAGGAATGAGATCCATGGCTGGACCTTCTAATTTCTTTACAGCCTTTCTAAAACACACTGCACTGCAACACAAAATGAATAACAGAATGAAAAGGAATCAGAAAAATGTTTTTATGGGGAATGAAAAGAAATCAGTTTTATTCCTTCACCTTCCTGTCAGATACGAAAGAAATTAGAATGGAACTGTGATGTCGTTCCATTTTGATTCATTACAAAATGGTATCTTTCCCCCCAAAATCTAGAAGATGCCCACACCACAAAAATTCATTCTAATACAGAGAGAAAAAGAAGAATGGCTTTTATCCAGTTTACAGTGCTTAGCTGCTAATGGCAATACATTCCTTAAACTATTTTACAACTAAGAAATAAGGATCAGGTGCTATACAATATATATGTTCATTTGCTGACTATTGGTGCTTCAAGCAGTAAGAAGTGCTATATTCTTTGATCTCTACACTGTTTCTGCAGTTTCTATAACATATTATCTGTGGACAGTTGCTCAGAATGAGCATTTGTCCAACTACAATGGAATGTATTTACAGCATGCCAAATGAGAAAATAAGTACAAGCTTGGTCCTGCTGGGACAAATTGACAAAATTCATCTTGTTGCAGGTTCAACTGTTGATCAGTGAACAGATATTACAGTTCCTCTTTCTAAAGTCACTTGAGCTTGACCTGTAAGGATGCTGTGCATCAGAGTCAATATAGACCATGAGTCTCAGACTCTGTCAGTACTCTTTAGGACTTTGAGCTTATCAACTGCATTACAGTTTAATGGGTATCACAAAAAAATCCCACCTGCCATCTTTAGGATTATTTTGTGGCCCAGTGTGCACAACTTCTAGTTGCAGTGAAGACAATAGTTATCAGTGATGACAGAATCTGACCCCATCACTTGGCCCTAGGCTACAAGTACTAGTTTATGACTTGGAAAGGCTGAGATGGTAGCAAAACACTTCTTACCTCTAGGAAAACATGAAGGATCCCAGAAGGACAACATTGGGAAACCTGAATACAACTGCCTGTCAGGACTCTGGTAATGCATCTCTCTTTCAACAGCTTTGGTAGTCAGTATTTTAGCGGTTACAGCACAATAAAAGAGTAAGAATATATAAGTGATTCTATTCATATTAAATAATCATACGAGAAATAAACACAGTAACACAGGCACAGAATGAAGTTCATATATGAATGCAAAATTTCTGAAATCTATAGAACCAAATTAAAGGATACACACAACTATACAAAATTTTGCTATTTTGGAAGTGTCTGCTAGCTTTTACTTTAATCTGGAAATATAATTATGAAATCTTTCCCTTTTGAAAACATATGGTCATTGACAGTATTTTCCAGTCTCCCTTCAAGGAGTCCCCGGGCTCAGGGAATTCAACTGCAGTGTAACTCCAGAGAAGCCATAATTTTAGGAATTGATGACGACAGCAAAGATGCCATACCAACAGCCTCATCCTCCATCCTCCAAAAGCTCCCAGAGCTCCAAAACCTTTTGAGGCAGATCCTACTGCAGAAAAGAAATCCATGTCCCGTACTGGGATGGTTCAGGATAATTTTCATAACCGGATTCCAAAAGAGCTTTTATTCAGTCCCATGACCCAAAATGTCCTCTATGGATATTTTTTACTGTGTTGGCCACAGGAATAGTTACATACATAAAACTACTTGCATATATAAGCACTTACACAATCAGCCTCTATAAAAAGGCTTCGCATTACCTCAATATTGGTTTGTTGAAGCTGAAATTGAGGTGATAAAGTATGAAATGAAATTAACCAGAAATATCTGATGAAAAAATAAAATAATGAAAAGATGACATCCAGCAGAAACAAACCACAGGAAATGCAATGCTGTTCTACATTATGGGAAAGCTTATGCTATTTGATAATGTCTTCTCAGGAAGGTGGTGTGTTCTGGGTCTAAGTTATCAGTTCAGTATTTTTACTTATTGCTTTTTAAAACAAATGTTCTCTTATACCCAGTGCTTACATTTTACAAAAAGACCCTAATTTAAAAGCTTGATTTTTATGAGGTATCAAACCAAAAGCATTTAAAGCCAGCAGAAGCTTGCCAAATTTACTGAAAATATTACAGAATTTAGGTGTACCACATTTCCAACAAATGGAAAAAAACCTAAACATCCATTTTAGTAATGCTTCTAGGAAGACTTTTTTAATTGAAAAAATTGTAAAAAGAAAAAAAAAAAAAAACAAAAAAACCCCCCAAAACCAAGAAAGAAAAGTTCTTGCAGGCATTTTGAAAAAAAACCAACTTGCAAACCCAAGTATTTTTGAAGAGTTCTACCAATTTTGCTTGCACAACTTTTGAACTTTAGATCTCTAAAACACTTGCATAAAGTTATTATGGTTCAAACCCTATTGAGCAATGTAAATATTTGGTAATGAAATTAACAGGTCATATCTAATTATTCACTAAAAGAGAGACCATTACTTAAATTTTGCCTCATGTTACCTGTACCCAACGTAAACTCCCTTGTGTATGCTTAAACCTTTGACAAATATTAAGGAACTAGGATTTCTGTGATTCTGGGATTTCACATTGGGCAATCCAAAATGCCAGTTCTCTCAGACCTAGATTGGAAATCTCTAAAACAGTGTTGAACTCCTGAGTACATAAATTTTCTATCTTGTAAATACCACAAGACGCATTAGACTGATATTAATTAATAATTTGAAATACAAATATTTATAATTTGACAATGGTTTCCTGCATTCTGTTGTTCTACACCACACCATTTGTGATTGATAGTTTAAAATCACAACAAAGAACTCTTTGAGCTTGGATAAGAATATTTCATTACAGCCGAGAAAAAGAATATTTTATTAGGTGTTTTAACATACTTATTCTTAGATTTTTCTGTCTAGAGGAACTGTTTGAACTGGTGAGTCAATGGATATGGCATGCCACTTAGGTACTGAGTCCAATAATCTGTATTAGACTACACAAACCTTTCAGAAAGATGTTCCATCCTGATTTGAAAGCATCAGAAAATGAGGAAACCACAACTGACTTTGCTAACTTCTTCCAGTGGTTAACTAGCATCATTACTAATAGTTTGGAATTTATTTCTGATTTTATTTTTTCTGTTTTTCATTTTTGTACTGTTTTTGTTGTATTTTTCCTTGTTGGCATAAGGAACCATTTAGTTCCTAGTACTTTCTCTCTTTGAAGTAAACTATTTACTATAATTGTTACCCTTTAACTTTTTATTTTCTTTACATTTATATGCAAATACATAGGCTTATCTTAAAAAGAAGAATGCCAAAGAGAACTGCAATTCCTGAAATTCACTAACTGGCATTAATAAATTCTAAAGGCATTTAAAAAAAAAAAGAAAAAAAAAGTAGAAAAGGAAATAAAAAAAAAAAAAAAGAGAACCATAACAATATTGAACAAGACCAAGAGAAGGCCAAGAATGAGCAAAAACCAGGTGGGTATGATTTTCTGAAATTATAAGCTTAGGCTGGTACCTAAGGAGGTGGATTTTCAAAAAAAAAAAAAAACCATCAATGCTGTAATGAGATGAATATTTCTAACTTGATTGAGTGTTTCTGAAATTCCACACCCACACAAGATTAAGGCATACATTTTTACGATATTGACCTGAAGCAAAGAAGAAATAGTATTACTAAATGACAGTCTTCACTGTACACAGTCTTCCACTGCCCCATATTCATCAGCTAGGAAAGGTATTTAGGTCTAAGAAATTGCTAACAATTTACTGGAAAATCAGGGCAATAAAAACCCTGTATGTCCCATGGAAAACAAATTATTTTATTCATGTTCCATGTAGAAAAAAATTAAGACTGCTCAGAGATACTCTGGCTCTCTCTATCTGGTTGGAGGAGATATCCTCAGCAATTCAGAAAGGTTGAAATCCTGTGTAAACTTTATCCTTCCTAGAACTGCTTAAAGTATTAAATTATTTTTCTCTCTGCTTTCTGAATATTCCATCCATTAAATTTTTTATATGTACAGAAACTGAAGATCATACAGTTTCTATTTTGCTGCAAAAAATATTCTAAGTTAATTACAAAAGTATGATATTATTCAATCTATACATTTACAACCCTATAATAAAGCACATGATAAAACATTTACATGAGTTACTCATGGCAAAACACCTGGGTAGTTTTCATAGATTATGAAAAACATAATGAAAATATAATTTATATTCTCAAAATACCTCAAAGATGCTAAAAGGTCATTCATTTTAAAATCACTAAGTGGTACTGTTGTAAATAAGGTAAAGAGCACTTAACAAATTATTTACTCATCTAAACTGAATTCTTCCTAATAATTTGGTTTATATATCAGTAATGTATATACTTTTACTGATTAATAAGCATTTGCTGAGTAGTATGGGGTTTAATAGTGCTTTGCTTCACAGACTTTGAGAAGCTTGGCAATAATAGAAGAGTTGAAAATGAAACAAAACAAAACCAGAAAAAAACCTTCTTAAGCCACATTTACTTTATAGTCACAGGAGTGACTTCTATGTAGTGTAGAGGTATTTAAAATTACAATGCCCATAAAATTGTAACTGTCTAACTATTGCTGTTTGGCTTAATTTAGTCCACTCTTTACTTTTACTTCGTTGACAGCAATGTAGAGATGGACCAGAGACTTCTGTTCCAACTTTTTATTTTCTTTCTTTCTTTTCTCCTTCTTTAATTCCCCCCAAACTAGAAAGCTCAGGGTAAAGTTAAGCACCAAACTTAATACAAGCTTAAAACATAACTTTTGGTGACACTCGGTGCCCCCACAATGAATGCTGGTTGATGACCACTTGTTATGTCTGCAGTGCCTAAATATTTCAGAATTAAACAGCTTACGTGGATATGTAATATCTGTTAATGTCTCTTCTCTAATACAACATTTTAGTTAAGGTCTGCAGGTGTAGCATTATCACTTCAATCACTGTCTGAAGACACTTCTGGGTATCGCTAAGAGTGCAAGTGTGATAGTTAGTTGATGAATTTCACCCAAGAGTCTTAAAGTCTTGATTAAGAGAGTGAATCTGATAGTCTAGGTGAATTTTTTTTTTTCACTTAAAAATAGTTGAACTAGTAATAGAGTATTTAAGTCATGGGTGAAGCTGGAATCAGAATCTCTGTCTTGAGAGGAAAATCAGTACAACTGAAAATGAGGAAGAAACAATGTCTATGTAAGTTTTTGAATCTTCTGAAAAAATAGACTAAATTCTCAAAACTTTGGCAAATTGGTAATCTGAAGAAAAGAATTATAAACCTGATCAAGGAATGCTTTACATCAATAATTTTAATTTTAATCCCTTTTATATACATTTTTCAACATTTCAATTTGAACTGAAAAATAAAACTTCACATTTAGAAATTTTGAAACATGATATTCCAATAATTTAAAAACTTTTTTCTATAATATATTTCTAATGAGAATTTTCAAAACCAATCCTTTTTCACAATCAGTGCTACTCTTGTTGATTAATATTTCAAGTAAAACATTTCATTGAAAAATATCCGATCAAGTCAAACAGCAATATACACTATCTCCATGATAGATAGAAAACCTATCAAAACTCAGTGGTTGTTTGCTTAAATACTCATCAGAATTTACTTGCTTGTTGTTGTTCTTTGGCTTTTATATGCATTATTGCTCCTGTTTATCACTAATAATATTGGAAACAAATGTACTTTCCTATTTGTTGGAAGACATAAAATCTTTGGAATTTATTTCTCTACAATGGGCATAGTCAAACTGCTAGTCAGATTATTTTTGCTGATATATTATTGACTGCTTTTGTAAGAGTTATGGTTATACATCTTAAGTATATCTGCAGCAGCTGGAAACTCCAAAAAAATACAAAGGAATCTTGATTCCCTTATTTTTATTTATGCAGAATTTTAGCAAAACTGCAGGTCAATTCACAAATGGGAGTCTCCACAACTGATGCTTTCTTTAATAAGTGTAACACTTTTACAGATGACTTTGCCTTAGGTTTCATCACAGTTTCTCTATCTAATTTGCTGTATGGGTGACCCATGTCTGTCTCAGGTAAATTCTTTCCAGCTTCTAAGAAAAGGACTAATATCTTCCCCCATTTCCTTCTTGTACTTTTTTGGTTCACCTAATTTTTCTTCCTAACCAAATTCAGACACCATTATCATAAAGAAGGGGATTTCTGTCTTATGAACAGCAAGCAGAAGCATGTTTTCTCCAGTTTGTCGTTCCTATTTATAGGCCGTTACCCACTTGGATTTAAAAATGACTCTTCTGTTTTACCTGAAATTAACTTCTGCTTCAAGATGTCTCCTTCTAAGAGTCCAAATACCTAAAATACAGCAAGAATCTCAAACAACAGGGGCTTTTTTTAAGGCTCTGCTACCTTATGGGCAATGGTTATAATGTTACAGGAGGAGAGCGAGACACTTTTATTTCTTCCTCAAGTTTTACTTATTAAACTATTTATATATGTATGCTGGACATATTCTTCATACAAATATAGGGTGACAAGAGCAGGCTGCATAATATATTTTAGAGTGAGATATTCACTGTTTAAAAGAAAGCTTTCAATAGAATCGAAAGCCAGAGATTTAATGGCAAATGTGTAACTGCATGGAGACATATTGTTATATTTTAGTTCAATGAATAATGACTAAGAAAACCATCATTTTATGGAACTGATATTTTCAATATATACTGAAATAAAAATATACATTTTTATCATTTTTCTTTTGAAGCCCAAAATTTAGGAAATGTTAGGTTAAAACCATAAAAATAATGAATCAGTTATGCCATCAATCATAAAACTAAAGAATTTGAAGCTATTCCTTTTCATGTGCAAAATATTGTTTCCATTTCAATGTATGGCATAAGCTGAAGCTTCTATAAAAATATTTATAGTAAAATACAGCATAAATCTATAATTACATTTAATCAGTTTTAGAAAGATGTATCCAATACTTAGACACTGTAAAATTATTTAGAATCAGTCAATTTTACCTCAGTTACTGCTGAAGTAATGAAAAGTATGATGTAATAGTTTTTTGTGAGCTGAATGGCGTATCTGCTCTCATCTACACAAAGCCCTGTAAATAACATACAGGTTGTTAGTCATTAATTAACTTAGCATCCACAATGCTCATTTTAGCTCTTCCATATTAATGCATTATGCACAGAGTACTTTAAATAACCATTAAATAACTAGATGCATTTTAAGCAGTGTAAGGAAGAGTTACAGAAAATAATTTTGACTTCTCATGTAAAAACCTTCTTAGAATTCCCTCCACTAAACATATGAACCCCTCTGAAGGAACTGAAAAGTCTTTAGTGGATTGTCTTGGAACAGATCAGCAAAGCACAATTTGGTATCTAATATAAGGTGCTCCCTTGGCCATGGGTGTAGTAAAGCATCATGCAAGGTATGAAGTAACCCTATCGTTTTCATCTTTCTTCTTTCAGTTGGCAGTCACACTGGCTTCTTTTTGACGTAGTCTTTCTTTCTGTTAAAGAAAAAGAAAGAGGTTTATTATCATACTTATCTGTAATTTTCCATCTCTCAAGCTGTCATGGACATTTGGTCTAGAATTCTGAGAAGTACTAAACAAGTCACAGTAGATGAGAGTTTTCTTTATTTAAAAAAAAATTAACACCTGGAGCATTCAAAGAAAGTTCCTTGGAACTTGGAAAGTTCAAGGGAAGTTCTTCCTCAGAACCAGTTCATTACTGACTGCAGAGAAACTGAGCTTGCTTCAGCTACACACTTGGTCAAATACTGTGTACCTTTAAAAATACGCAGCTCTGTGAAGACCAGTGCAGTGGGAGAAAACCAGACACATTTCAAATGCATGTGAATCTAATACCTTCTCTTGTCTGGAATGGTTTCTGCTGACATAAAGGCTCTAATTTAGCATTAGCTAGATTATGTTGTTTAATAACTTCTTCCCAAGCAAGTGCAGTCATTCAAGTCTCTGCCGCCTGTCCTGCAACCGTTATGCTCTGCTGGGAATGGAAATAATGTACTAATTCCTTCATGCACATTTCCTTTCCTTAGTCTCTTCCTTCCCAGTTGGAGGAATGCTGATCTAACCTGTGTGCCATGCACACAGACAAAAAACGTTTTATCTACAGTGTAAATTATGAGTCCTCTTTTGTGTTATATCAAAAAACCTGGGAAACAGCAAGGAATAAAATGGGGATTTAATCCCTTCTACCATTATTCACAGAGCAAACAAGATTTTGTAGAAAGTTTTGAAGAAAACTACACACTCAGCCATTGGACAAAGGAATGCAGTGAGCTTCATTGCACTACAGAGCATGGAAGAAAATATAAGAGAGTTCAGCAGAAGGGGGGAAGAAACCAGAAAAACAGCTCTTAGCATATTTTTTTATCTAAAATAGCAGAGTCGTGCTTAGGCACAACTAAACAAAGTTTTAAGCTTAACTGCTGAATTAGGATAAGACATAAGCCTAAAGATTTCTCCTTGGGAAGAAAACCACTTTGCTACATTCAAACTAAGCATATTGTGTCACACTTCAATAACAGAAAAAACCCAGCATTATTCTGAACAGCAAGAATAGTGTCACAAAACCCCTTCTGAATGTCATACTGGGAAGCAAATCATACCAGGCTAGCTGTAGGATTGATTTTCTTCGTTTCCACTTTCTTCTCTGCAGTTAACTTGCTTACCGATTGCTGAGCCATTTTAATTCTGAAACAAAATACATAGAAAAGACATCATTAGAGCCAAGGAAATTAAAGCTGTTCTGGCTCTGCTTGGTATATACTCTAAGAACCATCACCACTAATTTCTTTTAGACACATTAGGCCAGCAAACTGCTATTACTATTCAAAGACACTTAATAATGTACTAAAAGTAGATCAGAGTACAGTTTTAGAGAAAAACAAAAGGAAACGGACAGTCTGCCTGTACTGGTCACCAGGCAAACAACTTCTCTGTTCTTGCAGGATCTGGATTTTATAGAGTATCTCTCCCACCAAATAATCTGCAGTGTCAAAGCAAGAAGATATTCCACTGAAAAAAAGCAAAAGCTACCTGGCTCAATCTTAGTTGTATATATAGAGTATACTATTTTAGTAGGCCATTTGCCAGGCTACACATTTATTTCCTCTGAAAACGCTGAAATGAAAGCATTTGCCAGTTTTTCCTTAATGTTTTCCCCATTGCTTTACATGGAATTGACTGACCAGCCTCATTGATGGGGTGATAAGAGGAGAGGGAAATTGAAGGGGTTCTTGTCTAGGGGTAGTTAAAGCTGTTGTGTGTGCAGCTACAGACCAGTCAGCTGAAAGCACTATTGAGATAAGGGGAAAGAAGAACACAGATCTCATTCTTCAGTTTTTGCCTTTTGCTCTTAGGGTCTTGCCTACAGAACCCTTGTTTCTGTGGGGATTTAACAAAAAGAACGCAATCAGAAGTTTAATCAAGAAGAAAAGGAGAAATAGAGAATTTCACAAAAAGGGACTTAACTGTCCTCTTACAGACAGTGGAAAGGACAGGGAAAATTATGTGCTAAACAGTGACAAAAAGGAAAGAAAATTCTTGGCACTCCTAATACAGGATCTCTCCAGCTATCAGTGCCTTTAAAATGCTGATGCCATAAACACCTACTTTACAATTCTATATGAAAAATACAGAGGGAATGAAGTTGTGAGTGAATTTTTACAAGCAAGGAGAACTCAGCAAACCAATTTTCACTAATGCACACCAAATCAGTCTTTTACTATAAACAACACATTTCTTGGCACTCTTGAACTGAAAAATTCTACTTTCTCCTCCTATTTAATTTTTTCCACTGGCAGAAATAATTGCTATGGCCAGTCAAAAAGTATTTAAAATACCATGTCCAGTTCAAACCACTTTCGACACACTCAATTTTTGAGGAATTTTGGAAGAAAAGCAGAAAGGAAAGTGGATTATAGCTGCAATTACTGATGTGTACTTCCTTGCTGTAACACTAGCAGGCAACTAGATTCTTTTAAAATTATAGAACACATTCATAAGTTCGTTGTTGTGTTTATCAATGCTCAGTGTTGGAAACTAAAATTCCTTCTCTGAGCTATGTATTTTAGAAGCATCTGCTGGGTAGATATTGGTGTTGTCTCACTTTCCAGTGCTTAAGAACCGGAGGAAATAGTTACACTACTTTCAAGTAAACTTATTTTCAACATTGTTTAGCTACAACATTGATTCAAGCTGTAAGTATACCCTAAAAGACACAAATATGAAATTATTATTGTGTACATTTAAAAATATAGCATAAGTCTCTTTAAAACTTAATAAGTGTTTGCTGCTTCTACAGGTAAACAACTAAGCGGTAACACATCATTCCATCTTTTCAAAATTTTTTGTTAATCAGCACAGTTTACTACTTAATGATGGATGACAGTAGCCACTTGACAGAATGCTATTCTTCACAGCTACAAAGTTTGTGCAAAGATGATGATGTATTTCAAGTGACAGTATTCAGGTTCAGCAGAATCACACCGAGGGATTAACTTTTAAACTCTTTCCTAGTTTGAGCATGTTTTCTTTTAAATCACGTTCCCTTTGGTCCTAGGAGTGTTTTCTGATGAGTTTTTAAATGTTTACAGTACATATTTTCATCTGAAGGCAGAATTCTAGCAATTATAAACTTTTAGACTTATGCCTGTCACTGATTTAGGTCTAGCTGTGTATTCTATTCCAAATTTGCACAATTCCAGGAAACCTGGATTTTTTAAAAGTAGAGTGCATAGTTTGGAATACAAACTAAAAATAAACCAGCTCACTAACATGATTTGAATCATGTGATATTTGGCTCATAAGAATGAAAGATTAATTATATGTTACGCTTTGGTCTCCTAGGGAAAAAAGCCATCACTTTACTAACATATGAATGATAAGATTAGCAGGCATTATCAGAAACATAAGTGCATAATTAAAAAAAAAAATAATTATTTGGGATTTTTTTAAATCATATGGTTCAATTTTAAGAAAGTAGTTAGTTCAATGACTACATTAGTGAAGCACCCATGCTGTAAATGTGCCTTATAAATAAAAATAATTCTTTGTTAAACATGAGCAGGATACTACAACTGGCTATTTTGTTTGGAAACACTATCCTTGAAATGAGAAAAATGAAATAGTATGAAAACTATCAAATTCAAAATCATAAAATTGACTAACAGCAAAACTCTAATCTTTGTAATTTTTGCCATTATTTTACTTTCATCAAAAAACCTCTAGATATGAATACACAATTTTAATTGTCCATTAAAAGCTATGACAGCCTTCCATCAAAACTAAAAATCTTACACAATACTTTCTAAAGCATATAAAGTTGAATGAATGCACAACATTTGACTGAGTCTGTTACTGAAACAGGTAAGTAAAAACAAACAAATCACTCACTTAAATAATTATTAACTAGCAACTAGAGAAACCCTGTTAATTCAACTTAGGTATGGTTCTTCTCTGTTCGCTCCATTTTTTTGCTAGCACCTTTCTTTAGCACAAATAGAAACAACTTCCCATTTGTATAAATGTAGCATAACTTGTTTGAAAAGCTTCTCATTAAAATGCTAAAAATTAGAAGTATATTCAAAATAGAAGTAAAATTAGAGATGAATACGGAACAGAAATAACAAAACTACAATAAAGTACATTCAAAAGGATAGAATTAAACTACTAGTTATTTTATCTTTTCTTAGACCCATAAATTATGTTATTAACCAATCTGCAGATACACCAGACACCATACTATTATTTTTAGTTAACTTAAACTATTACATGCATTATAAAGTTAAGGCATTAATTGTAGTTTATGGGAATTTATACAGATGTAAATTGTTTAACAACTTCTTATAAAAGTATAAACTTCCTCAACTACTCTTAATTGTTCAGCAGTTACTTGTTCAAAGTCTGTTTGAAGTAAAACAAAAGCAAAGTAGCAGAATAACAAAACGTAAGGTAAATAAGTATTCTGTCAGATTTTCCTTTTTCCCTGTAACTGCAGTTATATCAGATGATAATGAAGGTGGCCAATTTAAACACTTATATTTTATAAAAATTACGTGGAACAGAAAAGGCAATATGGGACACTTAAGTCTTGTCTTCAGTATAAGGGCCAACAAAACATCTAAAGAGGACTATGAAAAACATTACTAAAACATTTACTGAAGATTTACTAGAATATGTAGTGTCTTAGTGACACTGCTTACAGGGTGAGATTTACAAAGTATGAGCTTAATATGTTTACTCACTTCATCTTCTCACTTAAACTTGTTTGTTTACTTAAGTGTTACATGAGACACCAAATAGAAGATGGGAGAGGATGCAGAATCTTACATAGTAAAAAGGCTCCTCAGAGAGGCAGGGAAATCATTAAGCTGGAAAGATAACAGGGACTAATAAATTCTTCCACTTAGGGAAGTTCAATTACTATGTATTCTGACATATATTACTATGTATAATGACAGGATTATCCTGGAGGAACAGTAGCAGAATCAAGCCCTGAGACAGAGCTCCACAACGTACAATTCACAGGCATAGGCTGAACAACATGAACTAAGCCTCCCACCAACCACTCTGTATCCCTTCCTTCTGAGTTTTTGTCACGTGAATTAAAGTACAGGGGAACAGCTCACATGAACATTGAGAGAGGCATGCCCATGAGGGGGAGTTTGGAGATGTGCAAAGGAATAGACTCAATGAAAATATATTTTTTTCCTTCCTATATCTATAAAATAGCATGGGTGGACACACTAACCATGTTTTAGAGATTTCATGGAAGAGAGATTGGAATTGAATCTAATAGATGTGATATCAAGGAGAAAGAAAGGGGAGTAGAAAAGTCCAGAGAAGTATATCTAAAACAGAAAAGTATGAAGGGATAAAAATGTGTAGTAAAACATGATTGAATAGCAACAAGGACACTTTTGAACAGAGAGCACTGCAGTGCACAGAGGCCGGAAAGGATGGCAGAATAGCTGAATCAAAGCACAAAGAGAAAAGGTTGGGGGGGTACTAATTTAGGAAGCAATAACATGAGGCCAAAACTTTAAGGACTGCAGGTCGGTTAAGCCTTGAAATCTGACCAGATGCAATATGGATTTGTTCAAAATAAAAATCATTCTCCTTCAACAATGAATGAAAGAGGTCAATATATCATAATGAATAAAGGTGTGGTGTATTGCACATTACCACACAATATGGAAAAAAAATATGAATTAAATTACCAAAACAATGTATTTGAAAAGGAGAACCATGACTCCAATACTGCATATAGATCTTTAATATAGGCAATGGAATATAATTGGCTTTTTCCTGTCTCTGTGTGGCAAGTGTAGTCTTCCCCTGTAAACTGGATGCAAGTCAGGCCTCTTAAATTAGAAGACACTAGTGAAAAATAAATACATGGTTTTTATTCAAAACTATTACTTTGTAACTAGGGACATTGAAACTAAATCTAAACATAAGTCATTATTTATTAAAAGTTTCTTTCATAAGCTCATGAAGGAAAATATATCCTCCTTAAAGCAATAGATATTATCTAGCCAGGACTAACCAGATAAACTCATAATTTTCATTCAAGTCAGACAGAAGGTGTAAGCTGGCATGCTCCATGCTCAAAAGCCCCCAGTTAGGAAAACCAGAATCACTTCTAAACAAGCCAGTTGCTACTCATGTATGTTCAGGCTCTGCTGGTG